GGCACACACACACAGACTCACACACACCCTTACACGCTCACGTGCCCGCGAACGCAAACACTTTTTAATTCTCCTTTCCTCTTGCTCTCTCAGTCAAAGTTAGTAAAACAATGTATGTCCCCACCAGCCTTTGATTCTCTCATTTTTCTCATTCCACCATGATTAGGGGATGCATATTTTTTATTGTGTCATCATTTACAGATGAACGTGTCCATTCTTCTATTCCGTCCTCGATAAATATTATATTATTTCAGACGTCATATTTTATACGTACAACAATTTATTATCCTGTGAATTCCGTCCACGATATACATTTTTTATTTCCTGATTGTCATTACCTAAACGTGTGTTTTTATGAAAATTCTTGAAACTTTTCTATATTTTTTTTCCTTCAGAAACTGTTATTGTTCCTCTTTTTAGAGTACAGTTTTGAACATTTTTGTTAAAGCTTTTGCCCAATAATTTATTGGCCATAGAATTTATAATGTTAATGAACCCCAGGGATAAAAATTGTAGTTTTATAATAAAGTGGTAACATTATAGATCTTGAATGAGTTCATTCTTTTGTTTTCTTCTTACAGATTCGTTCTTCTTGTGTCTGTTTGATCGACCGTATTATTTTTTTGGGGGGATTGACTAGATCTAAACTGTTGTATCCCGCGGATGTGGTATAATGGTTTTGGCTGTGCGTCGTTGCACGCAAGAGACTTGAGTCCGATTCCCGAGTAAAATTATTTTACCGAGTATCTCCGTCTGTCTGACGGGACATTGTGTCCCACTCAGGCCGGGTTGTCCCTGGCAGGTAGGGTCGTAACAACCAATCTCCTAATTGATCTAAATTGTGAATATGGGAGCGTAACATGTTTACAGGAAACAATTAGAGCAGATGGATTTTAACGTATCCCGAACGAGAGAGGCAGAAGAATGTTATAGAAACGTCTCAAGTGCCCCGGTATTAGACATAATATATTGATATATTATTGTTATGCACTTGGAGAACAGCACGTACAGATGATTTGATAGAAGATTGTCTCTCTCTCCCCCCCCTCTCTCTCTCTCTCTCTCTCTCTCTCTCTCTCTCTCTTCCAACACACACACACACACACACA